AATGAATCTCAGAGTTGGCGTGATTCTCCTTTTGCGCCAGAATGTTATCGAAATAATAATAATAAAAAAAACATCTGGAGTTGTTTTATTTATTGATCTATTTTGTATTTGTGACGTTTATGTGAAAACCACCTTACACCTCTGGAGCTGCCAGATGGTCCACCCGCCTCGCGCTCACGAGCGCGCACGGACACTGTCCTGAGAGGCGTGATAAGACATTTATTTCTTTATAATTATAATATTTGGTGCAATTAGGTCAGCCAATTTAGCAGATTATCGACTCTCCCTTTTATTATTATTATTATTATTATTATTATTATTATTATTATTATTATTATTATTATTATTATTAATTAACTAATTAATTAATTTTATTTTTTTCTTTTTCCTTTTAGCTTTTTCATTCATTCTTTAGCTTACCAGATGTGTGGTTGCTTGGCTGTTTGCCCAACTGTTTTTTTCGGACTCAATCTTGATCGTCGGAAATGTCAACTTCTTCCTGTGCATGAAAAATATGAGCTTCTGTTGTAGACTTCGGCTATAAAAGACTAAATACAATTATTGTCCTTCCATGTCCTCACTGAGAGAAGCAACAGATGTTTGAGATGAAAAGTGGGCCGTTATCTGCACGTATTTGACTTCTTAGATGTTTTCTCTGTTTACCTGAATTTACTTACCTGAATGGCGGCTATCAGGTGCATCCCAGATCATTTTTTTTCCCACAGCAAGGCCTTAAGGCCCACACTCTTTAATTTTATTTTTAATACCTTTTCACTTTCAATATTGCTTCACCTGCGTCTCAGTGAAAAAATGAAGATATGTTTTTTCAAAAAAAAAAGTTTCTGCCATTTCTTAAATCTGTTCTAATTTATTTCAAGATTATAGGCCTATTGGAAATTATTTGTGTAAAAATGGGTTAAATCGAAAGTAGAACGACATAAAAAAAATTGCGGTCAGAGTTTTGAATGTGCGATTATTTAAATATATTATTATGGTAACCTACTTTTTCGTTCTGATGAACTATTTAGGAGGAACTATTTAATCTGAATCCATCTGAAAGCGCTGTTTTTAGACGCATGTAGGGCGTTTCTGCTACTCAAGTTATGGTGTTTCAGAAAGTTTGCAATATGGCGCATTTGAAGTGTCTCTCGCACAACTCAGATGCGTTTCTGTCGAGCTGGAAGCTTGTATTGGCGCAGTCTCAAATGAGCTTGGCTTATTGGTGAGAGAGCGCAGAGCGGAGTTTTAAAATTTGGCAAGAACTTTTTCAAAGATGAGAGCAGTGTATATTAATACATGCTTGGGCTACCTGCAAAATATAATTACAGTGCTAGATTTAGTTTATTGTGAGAGATAGCAAGATAGTTTTGAAGTCTCAGAATGATTCTGCTGTCTTGAAAAAAAGAAAACCAAAATTATTGGGGTTCCTGATTATTAATAGGAGCACATATGATCCTAAAACAGTAAATCCTCTTAATTTTGTTGTGCTGGTGATTTTTGAATTATATAACACCTCCTGAGAAAGTATCAAGTTTTTATGCAATTGAGGGAATCACGGGCTATTTCTGGTACTTCAAAGTAAAATGCATCTGGAGTCGATGGTGGAACAGTTTGCTGCACTTTTTAAAAATTAAAGTGGAAAGTAAAAAAAAAAAAAACGTAGGCAGAATGTTCCTTAAAGATCAGAAATAATGTTGAATTTCATCTAATTTAAAGAGGACAGTAAGTAAAGTGTTGGAAGAAGCATGACAGACGCAGTGTAGGAGTTGCCTCATGTTAAATTTAGTGTTTTAACAGCACTGGTGAGGTGCAGAGCAAGCAGGCGATGCTTCACCTTCAAAGATGACAGACAATTTTGCATCAAGCTCCATAAAAGTGAGAGACCTTATGTGATAAATGCTTCACAGGGAGCTCACTAACAGGTGAACTGAACAAACCCTCTTCCTGCTTTGCATCTTGGATCCTTCATTCAAAGTCAGGGTCATTTCATTCATTAGCACAGCAAAAAGACACTTTTGCATCTCTAATTTTGCACCATACGCCTTGTCTGCAGAGTTAATTGTGCCGAAGTGTGTGTCCTGGAATCTGCGCGCTAATCATAGTTGTGTTGTTGTCTGCAAGAGTCTCTGTGTGCCCATGTGCCAATGGAAGAAGAGCGTGCCCATGTGTGGGTGTATGACTGCTCCTCTGCTACTCTCTGTCCATGTGTGTGCCCGTGCGTGCAGTCTATTAGTGGAGTTTAACCCCTCTGTTCGGGGAGTCGCAGCCCCTCAACACACCAGGCACCATTCTTTCTGCAGCCCGTTAACGTTTTACTCTTCCACCCACCCCACCCACACTGTTCACTTTTGTCCTAAGAGGGCAATTAAGGAAACAAACGTTTTCCCTAAGATAAGCTGGCTGCCAGCTTTGCATACTAATGCAATGCCAAGTGGTTGCAAATACTGAGTGCTCTAATTACGGGTACTATTTTCAATCAGAAATTGCTCAATTTCCCAGGATGAGGTCTCTATGGCTGCAGAAAAAAACACATGCAACTTGATAGAAGCAAGAGACAATCATCTCTGTGTGGAGGGAGGCTGATTTTCTCTGTCTCTGTGTGTGCGTGTGCTCACATGTGTGCCCATATGTTGGTGAAAATAAATTCATCTGCCTCTGTGTGTACAGACCGTGGAATGACCCACTCCATCGCTGCTGCCCTTGACAAGTCAAGACATGGATCCTGTCAGCCTCGACAGCATTTAGCACCACAATTATCCCCTTTCACAGCCTGGCTGCATCCGTGTAAACCACACCAGGCAGCCGTTGCCACTCAGTGATGAGAGCGATGTGGTGCACCATCTACTCTGTGAGCAATTTGGAGCAATTGTGTTGCTTTGTGATCATCAGTGCAAATCAAGGCCTTCTCATTTATTAAACAATTTCTGCTGGAGGAAATTAGAGGGAAGGCTCTTTTAATTTGGCAGGCGATAGATAGCAATATCACTAAAAGCAGCAATAATGCATAAAGCTGCTGACATCAAAGTACAAAAAGGATAGTGGACCTGTGATTTGAGTTGGATGCATCATCTCATCAGGACAGGTCAGCTATTCTGAGTGGCCAAAGTGGACAAGGACTGGCTTCCTGGATGTGGGAATGAGTCACTCTATAGGTTGCACATGCAGGACCCATCCGCTGGCCTTAGCTGACCTTTGGCTCTGACGGTGGCTAATGGAGATCTGGCCCTCGATCAATCCATCGCAAAGCTGGGCTCCTGATCCCTGGCCTTTCACCAGGCCAGGGTGGGACGGATGCTGCCAGGAGTCACGCGGCGGAGCCACCGACCCTACCACTTTCCCATCCGTGGGTGACAGCTGCAGCGCCAAGGAGCCTGGGGACGCCACACTGCCCTGCCACGCAGGAAGGACAGCCAGCAACTGTGTCTCTGTGGCAAGGGGGGAGGGAAAGCCATAAATGATCCGCTTGTGAATGTCACATTCATGTAAATATCCTCTACATATGATGCTGCGATGACCTGTGCAAGATAAATCTGGAGATATGTGTTGGATGTGCTGTTTTTGGCTCAAAACTTTGTTTCTCAAGCTGTTTGTGTGAGTTTTTCGCCTGCATCTCAATGCATCGAAGGATCTAAACAAAAAGCGCCTGAATAACGTAGAATTTTATTGAAAAGTTTATTTAATTCAGCAGGTATTCAAGAAGGGAAACTCAAATGATATAAATGCTTTAAGAACACAGTGATGTGCTTTAGATATTCATTTCTTCACATTTTGATTTCATGATTTATAGCTAATCTAGACACAGATTCTTAGAAATTTTAAGTGTTATCATAGACCAGGGCTGCTTTTGCATGAATTACTAAATCAGTCCTGCATTACATGGAGAAAATCAGCCTGGGGTTCTACAGAGATGTTAAGGAAGTGGTAGTTTAATAGAGGCCTACAGCTCATCTTATTTCTTTTCACAGCCGAGTCATTTTCCTCCTTTTCTAGGTAAAACCCTTCAAGGGATAATTCTGATTCAGGATATGCAACAGTTGTACTCCATGTCCCAGATATGTCAGTGTGCAGCGGTGATTGAAGTACTGATTCCAGTCCCTGTCATTTTTCAAACACACTTTTTTCTTCCACTAAACTTTCCAAAAATATATTTGGACACGGCACTCTGTAAATAATCAGCCTTTCTTAAAATGAGATTTTTGTAGCTTTACACCCTTGTCAATAATAGAAAGTCAAGAGTCTTCACCAAATATTCTGTGTAATAATTCTCTGATAAATTAAATTTTGTCAAAAAGCCTTGATCATCAAAGTGATAACTGGAAAAAATATGTCACAGTATGTGTAATGGTTCCCATATTGTAAAAGTTTTACTTTTTCAACTCTTTTCTAATTTATTCAGACGCACTTCTATGATGCTTTTTAGAAGATGCGATTGAACCTGCATTTAGTTTAAACACAAAGAAAGTTGTCCCCACTTAACGTTTTAAAAATGAGTTTCTGCACATTTCTTTAAATTATGCTCTGCACATTTTGTCAAAGGTAGAAAACATAAATCTGAGTCTGTTAAACATGGAAGTTTAACAGACTCAGATGTAACAAAGACCTGGTGTAACAAAGACCTACACCAGAATAACACTTTATCAGTTGTGAGAAATTCATATTTGCACTTTAAGTGTTTTCGGTATTCATTGTGCACTTAAAATGTTACCTCAGGGAATATTTTCTGATGCTGCACCCTGTTGCTCTGCCTGATGTTGCACACAGTTCTGTGCTTTGTTACCCAGATGGTGCACCGCTGTACACTTTTTTTTTTGTTATCAGAGCAACCCTTTTCTCTTCAATAGATGATGCTTACATCAAAACACAAGACAATATTTAGAATGCATTTTAATTTCATAGGCTTTTCATGTGTGACAACACTGAAAACAATAGCAGATAAAACATCCCGTCCATGCGGGTGGAGGAAAGGGAAACATCCAAGTCGTTCAGCGCAGATTGTTCTTTTTATTATCATTAACAGTAATGTGATTCTGCAGCCCTCTGTGACCCCATCACAGCAGCTCTTTATCTCCGAAGTCATTCATTAGAACAGACGGCAGAAAGAAACAGGGAGAGAGAGAAAGAGAGAGCGTAAAATAAATTAGATTGTTCTTAGGAGATGATCCACTTTGAGTCGGCAAAAAAGAGAGCAAACTCAAAGGAGATCCAGCAGTTCAGAATATGGATGTGAAGTTGCTGAGGAGTCTGGGATCAAGTTTTGGGCTTCGGGCTAAGTGTGTAATCACAGCCTCACTTATTGTCCACTTTGGATTTAAAGACCCACAGGAAGCCTTGAACTGAAAGCCGCATGTTTAGGCTGATATTTGGTTAGACTGTGTCTGCTCAAGACTTTGGGCTGATTGCAGGCTCTGGTGAGACTAATCAAAAAGCTTCTTATGTCTTCTTCCTCTAATGTAAATGGATTGTACAGTGTTTCTCTCATGTTTTGGGCCAGAATATGATTTGTACTCTGGAATGACAATAAAGGCCATCGCTCAAAGGTTTTCAATAAGAGCGACCATAAAGACTTTTTTTTTTTCATCTGCTGCTGCTGATCTTAGCAGTAGATCCACATCTATGCATTTCTATAAGTGAATGCAGACAGTTCTGTGGGTTCAATAAAAGCAGAAATCAGATACTGGAGTGGTCAGAGACTCAGACACTGATGAGGAGGGGGGGCACTGATGTATGGGGGAGGGAGGGAGGAGAGCCGTGTGGATCCTTGGAGTAGTGTGACAGACTCCCCAGCCTCCTGGTAGGATTTATTGGAATGTGAGAGAGGAGGATTTTAGCACCAGGCGAGCCACGCCAGAGTGCTGCAGACTTCATGCCATCTGTCTCAGCCTCCATCGTCTCTTTGCCAAACTCCTCAGACCTTTATTTCCTCTCCCTCTTTTTCTCCTTCTCATCCCTGTTCACAAGAGTAGTGGACATACTGATATCCGCTAACGTATTGGAAGCAGGGGGGTTGGTTGATGGCTGGGCTTAATAAGCAGACAAGAACAGGAAAAAAAGACATTGATTAATATGTATTCTTGGAGCTGATTGTACGACAGCCCTGATGGAGACACAAATGTGTGTCCGAGAGCCCTGCCATTTGTTACGGGACCAACAGGGAAAGAGAGAGTTATTCATACCATAGCAGATCTGTTGATCAGTTAATAACGAAACATGCTCCAAGTGAGAGCCAAGAAGTGCTTTAATTTATTGCCCTGTTAAACACTGATCAGCCATAACATTATGACTGTCTGCACGCTCTTGCAAAAGTATTTAAACCCATGCAACTTTTTCACATTTTGTCACGTTTCAGCCACAAACTTTGGTGCATTTTATTTGGTTTTATGTGGTAAAAACCCACAAAAGTTAAGTAACATTTTAAAATAGAAGGAAATATTTCATGGTTGTCATTTTTTAAAACAAGAATGAAAATCTAAAAAGTCTGCTGTGTATTTTAAGCCTCTCCAAGTTGATATATTACAGAATTCCTTTTTACTGCCAAAACAACTGCCAGACATTTTTCTACCAGCTCTGCACAAAGAGAGAAACTGACATTTATTCTCATTCTTCTTTGCAAAACAGCCCAACCATCCATCTTTCTACAATCCTAATCAATTTCTTTGACCGTGTGGAAGGAAAGCGTCCCCACAGCATGATGCCGTCGCCACCATGTTTCACTGGGATTATGTATTCAGGGTTATTTTCCAAACAGTGTTTCAGGTTTTCTCTTTGTTTTTACAATGACACATTTTTCTTACGTTTCATGGCTTGTGGCCAGGGCCGGATTTACAAGGATGTGGGCCTCTGGTGCCCCACCCACAATTTTTTTTTTTGATGGCTCTTTATTTAACCATGCGAGTTACTGAGAACTAATTCTTATTTACAACGACCGGCATTAACAGGTAGCACTATACATGAGCAGGTTTGAACAGATGCATGGTGGGTTTAATATGAACCTGGCCAATAACTGCATGTTGCAGCCAAAAATATTACTATAAGTTCTTAATTTTCAAACACTTGAAATACAACTCACCTGATTTGGACCTCGGAGATGGGAATTTTGTTTGCTTTTGTTTAAGCACAATGTTTGCAAAGCATACATTATAATAAAATTATTTTATATTTGTAACTTCCCCTAATCAGGGCACTGGGTTGCTCCTAAAGTCTGCCACAGTTTGTGGCAAACTGAGATTAAATGATACGCAGGTGATTTTACTAATTAGGTGATTTCTGAAGCTGGTTGCACTTGTCTTGACTAAAGGGGAAATAGAACAAAGAGAAATCTGTCCTCAGATTTTTATTTGTAAAACCTTTTGAAAATTATCTCTCTTTTATCTTTCACAATTGATTCCTACTTTGTTTTTGGTTTAGCAAAATCCTAATCAAACAAGTTCAAGTTTATGTCTCCAACCTGATGAAGTGTGAAAAAGTACATTTAAAACTTTCAGGAGGCTGTGGATCTGCTCTGTTATAAAATATCTGAAGGTGTCATAAATGTTTAGTTCCAAAACAATAGATTTTAATATTTCTTTGACCCCTCTTTGATGTGTCATTGGGAGCTTTTTGGACAGAGTTTCTTACTACAGATGCAATTAGATCCCATCAGGTCAGAATCTGGGGATTTTAGAAGCTGACTAAACCCCTAAGATCTGCTGTCATGTTCTTTAAGCCATTTTTGTAAGCAGCTTTTAAAGCACCCACAGGGGAGGAAATGGGGTTAGGAGGGTGGAATATTCTTCTAAACTGTTTACGTCTGTGGTAAATGTCAAAATAACACCAATGCTGATGGTTTTCGCAGCAAAACATTCTGTTATTACAACATATTACTCACTGCACCTGGCATTAGTTATAATCTTATGACTGATTGGTGTAAACAGGCCATTTGCTTTACTTAACTTGATTTGTTAAAATGTGAGGAAGATGCTCCCATGTCATAATGTGATTAAAATGCGTGGCATGAAAACGTTTGTTTTTGAAGTCATTATTTTGTTATTAACCAAAATAAGGAAATATTTGAATGCAGTCATGGAAAGGGAAGCATTCTCGATAAGAGATTTAAGATCATATGACACCTTCCAGCACCACAGAAAGGAAACTGTCACTCTGGCCAAAAATTCTCAAATCTTTTCATTGTAGACAGATTTGCATTTACGTGCTATAATTAAATCAAAAGCAGATTTTCACATCAAATGGTGGTGTGATTATGCTGTATTTGTGTGGGGCTGATCTCTCACCCTCTCTCTGCATGTGGGTGGCTTGGGAGGAGGCAGCAGGAGATCACAGGGAGGAGCTGTACTGGCTCCATGTCCTTAACCTGTTCGGAGAAGGGTAACGGGAGGATGGGGGCTGGAAAGAAAATGTACCCATCGCCCTATATGGAACACCAGGTGGCAGAAAGTGGGCAGGAGGCCTTTGAAGCTGACCCCTGGTCCGTTCGCTGAGATGGCCTCAACGATCGATTTAGCCAGTGATGGCAGGGAGGAGAGCCAGGTGCCCCCACAGGGCCGTCAGTCCACTCAGATCTATTATGGGCGAAGGGGAGAGAGTCAGTTGGCGCCTGGACTCACAGCTCCTGTCTGTCTGGTTAGCTTTAGCAAAACACTTGCACTTCCAACTGTTTCAATTTTGGATATCAGCATAGTTGGAAAAAAATGCAAAGCAGTAATCTTTTGATTATAATATATTTCTGCTATGAAATTAACTTTTCAGATTGAGCCCACGACTGGTTTTCTGATGAGCTTTCTGTCCATAAGCAGTGTGTTCAAAAGGTTTGTATGCATACCTTTTGATGCATACAAAAGGTATGCATCAGGGTTCTGTATTTGGCCTAAAACTTTTTTCTATTGCTACCCATAATGTGAGCAAGAATGTAGGTGTTTATGATTCAGCTCTCCATCTTTATGATGGTGACACTTTCTTTTATAATAAAGAAAGTGTCGCCATCACTTTCTTTATAATACTAGGCAGCAAACACAGCTGCCTAGTATTTGATACTCGGCTGAATTTTACATTCGTCTGACACATTTTCCACCTCCAACTGGAAGTAGACTTTGAAGAAAGTATTTTGTTTCTGAGCAAATTTATGTGGCTCTTCTTGCAAGACTTTTGTCTTGTTATAAATATCCTGACATTTTAATTCATGAAAAAAGAAATCAACCGAAATTAAGCTTGTTTAAATAAATACAATTTTTCATTTAACATTAAAAAACAACTTGTTGTAGCTACATTTTTACCTTGAATTGACAAGAGTACCATTGTTTATGTGAACCGTGTCACTTAATCATTTTAGCCTGTATCTGTGGTGGAGAACTGAAGTTTATCTCAGGATACAAACCTGAGTAAATACAAAAAGCAGTTCAGAAGAAAGCCATCCAAAAAATCTGAGCCCTGTGCAAAAAATGAATTGTTCACCTTGTTAAATTTTAAATGAACTGTGATTAACAGAAGTCTCAATCCTGACGCATCTGTAAAATTAAGACATAACTTAAACATAACCAGAATGATAACACACAGTAGGCTAATATATTCAGAAACAACGTGTGTATAAAAATTCAAGAACACATGAGAAACAAAACACTTACAACACAAAGTAGCCAGAAATATGTTAATGAAAATCATTTCTCAAACTTTTGGGCTCCAGAAAACCACACTATGTCATGTACTATCAAAATAAAGAAAATCAAATCAAAGATAAATAAATAATCATAACCATACCTTCTGGTCAAATAGTAGACTTTTAGATCAGCTGGGAAACAACAGATCACATTATGTGATCAGTTTTAAAGTAATTACTCTGCTAATAAAGGTTAAATAAATAAATGAGTTTGATTCATGCATGAATCAGACATCCTTGTGCTGCCCATAATGTTCATTGTGGGCAGCACAAGAACTGTGCAGGCTGCTTTGTATTTTGGCCAGAATTGGAGGAGGTGAGTGCTATCATTGTCTACATGCTCATTCCTGGGTTACTTCTCTGTTTACAGACCTGTAAACATGAGAGTAAACACACTTAAACTCACTGACAGTAACTCAAAACCTGACCCACCTCCCCGTTCCTGCCAAAAACCCCTCCTCTTTGGGTGGGAAAAATAAAAGCTCTGTACTCGGAGGAGGAATGACTAGAAGAAATTATGATGTGTTTGATTTCCTCTGCAGCCAATGATGTGCAAGCTTTGTGTACTTCCTGCCCTCTGATAGGTCTTTGTCGCTCTCTTCATCTCGAGACCCACGCCGTTCCCCATAATCCCCCTCCTGAACATAAACAGGCCAATCCTGTGACAGAGCTGAGGGGCTGGGGAGGGAAAAAGCAGCCACCGCTTAGATGGGGCGACGAATGTGGTTCAGAAAGAGAAAAAACAGGACAAGAAGCTGGTGGTGATGTGAGAAGAAGCCAGTGTGTTATTATTAATAAAGCATTAAAAAAGTGAGCACATCAAAGCATACAGAGGCTATGCTATCTTACATGAAAGTAGCGCACTATGGCTTAATGTTTCCTAAGGCGTGTTACGGTGACGCTGCTTTGATTTGAAATGCATTGTGTGGAAAATGGATTTACAGGAGTGCAGTGGGAATACCTGGTGTGGGTTCAGACTATAATTTAAAACCTGACCTCATAGGCTCTTCAAAGTAAGAGCGGTGATGTTTTAGGCATTCGCAGTGTGTGTGAGGTCCTAAACCACTGCTGCACACACAACAAATAAACACCAGTGGGGGATGTGGATAAAACCTGAAAAAACCAGGGAAAAAAACAGGAACATTTTCTGGTTTTCCTTATGCTAGTCATTAGAACTAATAGTAACTTACTTTAATACAATTTTTATTCTATCTTTTTTCAGCTAAAGGCTGCCAGACCTGATTATTGTGTGTTGCATTGCCAATCAAGGCCTGCAGGAAGTGAGATTTTTTTCATTGTGTCCTCATGGAAAAGGTAATTACCCTAATCTACCTTTCTCTTGTGCTCCAGCTCCACTACCACAGTGGCTCAGACCACCTCCGAGGTTTCATTATCATCGCTGGGACTCACTAATGGCTTGACGGCTTCACTGAGCGGGCAGCTGGAGAGGAGGATCCAGGGAAAACGGAAAAGAAGAAGAAGCAAAGGGAGGAGAACAGGGGTAAAAGGAAATCAGGGGGTCGGGGGGAACGAGTCATGGAGGAGAAAGAGATTAACATGAGGGACAATACGATGAAGTTCAACTGCTTCCTTGAAAATCAGCAGAGACTGAAGGAGGATGAAGCAACAGGGCAAAAGTAATGTCAAAGAGCCGGTATGGAGATCTGACAGAGTGCTCTCTGCACGGCTCGGTGACCATGCCTGAAAAATGTTTGAAGTGTATAAATGCTCTTCCCATACATCCACATCTCCACCTTGTATGTTTGCAACAGCTAACCTCACAACATGCAGACGGACCGGGGGAGGAAATTCAGCTCCACTTTTTGCTTTCCAGACAAATGACACCCTGACAGTTGGAAAAATGTTGGGGTCCCTGAACAGATTTCTCAGTTATAAAAATAAAATGTGTTGGATTAGACAAAGACAGACATTTTATATTCTACTTTTGAACCCCAACGAGAGCACTGACAAATGCCACCCCACCCCCACTCCGTCTGTGCCATAATTGTTGTTTTTTTTCCTTCTCTCTCTCCAGAAATGTCATATAGTTAAGAGGTGATAAATCTATATGGCATAAACAGACACTGATTTCTCCCAAGTGTATGTATAGCATATAGGCTGACAGATTGAGATGGTGTTTGTCTTTGCATCATGCTAAATTGGCATAAATGTAGTTTTTTTTTCTATACTAAGAAAGAAATTGGGAGAAATCTTAAATATAGTTTAAACTGAAATGGAACAAACACACACAGCTTAAAAATAAGATGAAAATCTTGAAATTTTATTGCTTAATAGCTAATTCATGCTGTGCTTGTTGGTGTGTATGTTTAGTGTGAGTAACACTGTTTGCATCATATGTCAAACGCATATTGTATAAATGCTAATGATGTCAATTTGAATATTATAATGCATAATTTCTTTCCATCTGTCAAGACAAACACGTTAATCAGGATAAAATCACCTTAAAAAATAAAATTATTGTAAAATCTGAAAATTCAATGTCTTTATCGTGGCTATTCATACTTTTAACCTATCAAACAATTCAATTTAGTCTGGAATACCTCCACAATATCACATGCTCTATAAATAATAATCATAACTGCAAATATATTTTACAGCCAAAATTATATCTGTTTGATAACAAATTTAATTTTATATCTGAAAAAAGTAAGGCAGGAGAGGAAGACTAAATTCTATAAATGCTTGATAAATTGAGTAAAACAGTGTTTAGATGTGAAAATCTGCATCAAGACATTTTATGCGGATGTCACATTGACATTTAACATCAACTTTAAGATCGCTGCGGTGCAGCCACACCCCTGACAAACACAACCCGTCAATCCAGGGTGGGACTGAAGATTCACTTGCCAGTGTCCCAGTATCAGACAGCCCACAAGACAAACAACATAAATTAAAGTGACAGTAAACAGGCATTTTAGGGCTCAAAATGTTCTGAATATATTGCTTGTCCTAAAATTGTTGTCAGGTGTCACTTGCAGTCATTTTAGTAAGTGGGTTTAGGTGCAGACAAGCATGAAGGCATGTTTTGTTTTGTTTTGGGTCTTTTTTTTTTTTTTGTCAGAGGTAATGTGATGACACATGATGCTGAAACAGTCTTCTTCCAGAGGATTCAGAATTTTAAACCTGCTATAAATAAATGTGTTAAAACTGGTTCAGTTGGATTTGAGGAAGAGAAGATGAGGAAAATCTGCCTTCACAGTTCATGTTTTCTTCCAGTTCTTTTCAATTACTTTTGATAGTTTCAAGTAGATAATAATAATAATAATAATAATAATAATAATAATAATAATAATAATAATAATAATAATAATAATAATAATAATAATAATAGGAAACATGATTTTGTAGATGTGCAGGTGCTGAACAAATGTGAGTGCATGTAAATATTGCGGTGCTTCATGCATGCAGAAGAGAATACAGCAAGCACAAAGCGGTAGGACAGACCTTTTCATATAAAAAGAAACTCAGGTATTTCCAGAAGGAAAATAAAAGCCTTCTTCAGCTTCCATGCTTTGACAGAACTAAAATAGAAAACAGCTAGAATGAGCTGTGCTCACAAAGAAACTCATGGAACAAATGATTTATTTTGACTAAAGCAGGGTGAAAAACACAAACAGCAAACAGCAACGCAGTTAGATTTGTTGTATTTTGGTTGATTGCATGGATAGGTCATATAAATAGTATAGGCAGATAAGTATCATTTTACACTCAAGTACCACATAAAAAGGCTACAAAATTTGGAGGCAGTCTATTATGTATAATGCTGTTAAAGCTCTGATTTGGGTGTGTCTGTCATGAAAAGGTAAATGCTCAAATATGTTGCTGGCTGCTAAACTTCACCTAAACTTACCTGGTAGAGAGACGAGGACTGCATCTGTCAGTCATTTGCTGCAGATCAGGTACTTTATATGGGATTTTAGGAGCTTTTACAATGAAAACAGCTTCATGATTCAGCTAAAACAGGCGATGTAATGAAAGTGGGAAAGAACAAGGTAATTTGTTGAATGAGACCATTAACAACGAGTTGAAGTTTGTTACAAAGTTTTATAAGACTCAGGAAAGCCACTGGGAATTTTAAGCTTACATGTTGGGCTCGACTAACAATAGTTGTCAGTTTTTTAAGTGTCACTCAGTGCCTCAAGCTGTCAGTCATACGATGCAGAGTGCAGACATTTCTTTGTCATGCTTATTCATAGCTTGGAGAAAACAGGGTTTGTTTATTTAACAAAGATTTTCTGTTGGGTTTAAGCATTTATTTCTATGTTGTTTGGTCCCTGAGTCAGTCTTTCTTGGATCTTCTTTATAGTTTTAAATTTGTTACCAGTTAAAATAATCGATTGTAAAATGCCACATCAGGGAATGTTTAAGAAAAAACTAATTTCTTTAAGAATTTTTTATGCAATGCCCAAAATCAAAAGACGCAAACATGGATGGGTTTTAAGATTTTGGGGTTTAACATGGAGTTCATTTGTAAGCATTTTAGACTTTATAGTGAAACTGCATTGTTGTATGCAGTGGACAAAAAAACTGTAGGATTGTATTTGTGGGAAACAACATGTTATGCCAGAACAGTTAGGCTGTTCTTTGTCGATATTTTGATACAACTATTTGGAAAAAGGAATGTTCAGTCAAAAACAGTGGATGAACCATGTTAGATTATCGCTTTGTAAGCCTTTGGTGAAGACAACAAAGACTGCAAAGAGTGTTAAAATTTACTCCACCATAAAGCACCTTCCTAAAATGTTGTTTTCCTCAGCTTGTAAATGTGTGATTCACTCTAGAATTCAGCAAACAGTGGTGAAAAGCATAAACTTATACTGAAGTCCCTTTCTGGTAGTTAGTGAGGTGTGCTTTCAGCTTTACAGAGGAGTTAGTCATTTAGTCAAACAATGGGAGAGCATTAACGGATGCCAATGCAGCAGTACCAGTCAACGGCCAAAGTCAATACACCCTACTGGGCTGCATGCCTTTCAACAAACACAAGCAATTGCTTTTAAAGACCTCAGCACCAGATAGAAACATCAATTACAGTAAATTACACCAAAACAGTGAGTAACACTTCAATTTGTTTAATCTTCTGAGCTGTCTGAGCTGTTTCGATGAAAGCAAAGCAGAGGAGAGCAAACTAAGACTACATTCAATAGCCTTAAGATGCGTTACACCATCCAGCTCTGGTCATGTAAATGCATAGAATATGAGTTATTTATATTTAATCTCCAAGTACTTCCTTTGATAGCATTTATTTACACTCAGAAATGGGTTATAAATGTTTTGCTTTTGAAGAGCTTCGAGTTAGGAGCTCTCTCCAGCAGCCCTGTGACTATCCAAATCAAATGTGCCCAGTTTTCTGTTGGCATTGGGAAGTCTGGAGCATACAAATGATTCTCTCAGGTTCTTAGTTCATAATGCTTAGACTTTCAAAGGCAAAATTAGGATGCTTCAAGTGTTCAACAAGGCTTTAACTTCAGCGTCTTGGGGCACAGGTTAATAAATTCTGCAGTGAGACGACTTGGAAAAAATAAAAAGCAAGGCTGTAACACCCTTTAATTTCAATGAAGCCTGGAATGGAAATCCAAATAATAAAGGTTGGTGATTCTGTGTTGACTTGTAACTATAGATTAATTAATGTCTTAAAAAATGATTTGTTAATTAAATTAGTGAAATTCCTGTTGGTTTCATGAGTTGTTTGCAGACATTCCACTGTGCTGCTCACATCCTAGCTCTTATTTTGGGATTGTCAGGACTTTGTTTGTTTAACAAAAGAAAATCTTTGACATAATTAATTATAAGCATTTAATGAATAAATAAAGTCTATCACTTTATAATTGTTCCTACTATATTCTGTATGTATAATAAATATAATAAGTAATAAAAAACAATTATAATAATAATGTGATTCTTGGAACTTGGTGAATGTATCAAAAATAATTGGATTTTTTTTGTCAAAATCTTATTTTTGTCTCATAAATGATGGAAGCTGACCCTTTTAAATAAATAAAATAGAAATTGAAAACTTGGTTTTGACTGATTTAGTCCTAATATAGGTAGAAAGTATACCACTAAACAAGAAAATGCTCAATTTAAACCAAGTGGAGCATAAATGGGTTTCTTTGCCATGGCTGATTATCCAGGAGGGGTCCTGGTTGCTGGGGACAGATGAAGATTTGGCAGTTTTAGTGAACATTTTGGGAGAACAGGGAGGCTGTGGAGGGGGCCTAGAGTAAATGAAAGACAAATGCAAGTAGTGCCCACTCAGCTATTTTCCCAGTCAAGATCAAAGGCACGCTGGACCGGCCGCTCCACAGGAAACTTGAGATGGGCCCTGCCTTTGTTTGCTGTTGCTATGCGACCTGCGGAAAGCTGAAAGTGTTTGCAGAGGGGCACAACATCAAAAACCATTTCCAATATAAATTTTTAAGACTGTCTTGTGTTTGTGTCGCTGGCTTTGAATTTACAGAGCATACCAAACAGACTAACACTAATGATTTATTCCTGTTTGTCAGGGAATTGTGGTGTTTGAAAGAAAGAAATTAGTCACACACACACAACTGTCCAAGCAGGCAGGGTGTTGTCATTTGTCTATGCAAAAACCTCTGATGCAAAACTATGGAACTATCGATGCACAATTTAAACTGACCTAAGATGTGCATCTTTGGCCCAAGATGCACAGATTGCAAAACTGCAAGCAGTGTGCAAACACAACTTCAATATTGCTTGAAAGATTTATAAGCGTCTGTTTGGCTTTCAAACAAAACTAATTATGATGCTGTTATATATTAATGGGCCCCATGACAGTAAGGGTGGCTAGACATGTGTCACAGAGAGCTCATTACATATCATTAGTTCGACACTTCAATAATGTCTACACCTGCTGAGCAGTAGATAATGACTTGGCCCCTGATATTTGCAGGACTATTGTCTACTAAGCACAGCACCACCGGGAGAATAGATTTGCAGGCTTATGAGGAGAAAACTGATAAAGCTGCATTATAACCTACATAGACTTCTGGATTAGTGTAACATATACTGAAGGAAGTACATGGGAAAAGAAATCTATCTATCTATCTATCTATCTATCTATCTATCTATCTATCTATCTATCTATCTATCTATCTATCTATCTATCTATCTATCTATCTATCTATCTATCTATCTATCTATCTATCTATCTATCTATCTATCTATCTATCTATCTATCTATCTATCTATCTATCTATCTATCTATCTATCTATCTATCTATCTATCTATCTATCTATCTATCTATCTATCTATCTATCTATCTATCTATCTATCTATCATCTATCTATCTATATCTATCTATCTATCTATCTATCTATCTATCTATCTATCTATCTATCTATCTATCTATCTATCTATCTATCTATCTATCTATCTATCTATCTATCTATCTATCTATCTATCTATCTATCTATATCTATCTATCTATCTATCTATCTATCTATCTATCTATCTATCTATCTATCTATCTATCTATCTATCTATCTATCTATCTATCTATCTATCTATCTATCTATCTATCTATCTATCTATCTATCTATCTATCTATCTATCTATCTATCTATCTATCTATCTATCTATCTATCTATCTATCTATCTATCTATCTATCTATCTGTCTGTCTTTCTATTTCTTTGTAAGAAAAAATATATCCGGCGAAACATAAATAAATAAATGAATAAATACAGAATGCGTAAATAAGTAGATAAATATATCAAAAGTTTTGGTATTTTCACAGATCACTATTCAAATCATTCTTCAAAAATTTAACAGGAGATTTTTCATCAGGAAAGCCAAAGTATACAAAGAGTTTGAGAGATATTAGATATTAGCCTTGAACACCAGAAATCTGCTCTTAAAAAAACACACAAAAGAGTGACAAGAAGAAAGCATTTTACTGAAAGAAACCCATTTTTTGTTTGGCCATATTTATAATATATATAAAATATTAGAAAGAAAATGCTCAGGCAACATGAGATTAAAATAGCCAACTTGGAAAATGCTCTACATGGAGGAACATTATCATTAAACTGCATTCAGAAGACTCTAGAGCAAAATATAGTGGTGGTAGCATGATGCTGCGGGGTTGTTTTTCTCCATCAAAGCTGGTCGTGTTTAGCTAGGAAATGGTTTGATTTAAATGCAGGGCAAGTCTTGGAGGCAACCTATTGCACACAACAAAACATTTTATAGTAGTGAGTAGGTTTACAGTCAATAACTCGGGGTATTAGTCTGCCACGGCCTGTGAGTAGCTCAAATCCACAAACATCTGAGATCCTCCAAAAACACTTACAGCTGCCTATTTATATAGTTCAAAAACCAATTATACTGTAACATGCACTAATACACATGATATAAATCATCTTTTCAATACCATAGACATCCACAGCGTTTCTTACCTTCACTCTTGGGTGCAGCCAATCAGCGCCAAGGAAAAGAAATGGCGCTTCTTCACTGACTGCTTTGTAAATGCCAGCTAATTGTGCTTCAAGTACTTTTGCACAGACTTTTCCAGCTCCCCAGGCTGCATTGTCTTTCCATATAGCTGTTGAAAAAAAAAACCCGACAAAGGATGAATCCATAAATACTGAACCACAAATAGACAGGGCTTCCACAGCACAGGTCCAAACGTTAAACATACAGGCTTGTTTTCAGTGGAATGGTTTAAATAAAAGAATTTACAGATGTTAGAATACATACTATATTTCCACAAAATTTTGAAAAAATAAATCAGATGTTTTTGTTTGTTTTTTACACAAATAATGCAGCTCATAAAGCATAAAGCCTTTGTTAGTCCATCTTTGACCAGTCAAGCATGTATATCTTGAACAAGATCAAACGTAGTCCCTTTAATTTAGTGCTGACAATCAGATCCGATGTTATCGTGGCAGCAGTGTGGGGTCATATGTTCTCAAAGTGCATATAGAGTACATAACCCAAGACCACCCACTTCCTTTTGACTAGACAAAACTATCGCTTCAAATGGTTGAAGCTCTCAGTCCAAGTTGAACTGCCCCCCAGGTTGTGCTGCCCTGGGCAGTGAGCCATATTGTACATATTGACAACAATCATTGTATCAATCATTTATGACTGTGGCCTGATCTAGGAGTTCTATGACTTTCCTATCGTTACATAACTTTGAATAAAATGACCTCTGTCTTTTTGGCAAGACATGAAAGAAAAAATTAATGAACATAATTCTGCATAAATAAATATTTTACACGTGATAAAATGAGTTGGAAGAGCTGCACTCTTCTAGGTAGTTTCAAAGTCACCACTTTAAACATTTCCTAGGACTAACAGGACATTCAGAAATTACACTGGCCAAAAAAATGGACTCTGTCTGGAACAATGAACATTGGAGTTGTTCTGTGTCTGCCTTGTGTTTTCTCTGCTTGAGCCAACTGGCACAGCGCTGGTGTCCTCTCCCAGGCTCCCACTTCGCAGTGATGACAATGGCAATGCAAAAATGAAAAAAAAAAAACTAAATTACAGCAAGCCAAGGAATGCTTGGACAATTTAAAGACAGTGCAGCTCATGCATGAGTCTCTGTCTCAAGGAAAGCATTGGTTTAATTGTGAGTATTTGGTCCGTCAGCCCTTTCATCCATGGTTAGACTGCAGAGAGAGGCTGCAATGACCTTAAAGCGAGCCATTTTCCAGCTGGAAGTGGAATAAATAAGGTTTCTTGAGGATTCCGAGTTTGCATCCTCTGACAGGCTGAATTTCTTTGCCAACCAGGAAGAACTAGACATGGCCTAGATTCAAGTGTGTCGTGAGCTTATGCTGTGCGTCCTGCCGTAACCTTTCCACACTCAGTGCTATAGCGAGGGCGCTTGTGAGGCTTTAAGAGAAAACACTGAGAACACAGCAGGCAACGAAGTGATGAGATAAAGCAGATTCATCTTCCGAACCCTTTAAGAAAAAAGAGCGCAGGCTAATCCTGCTGTTGGGATGGAAGAAAGAGACGTCTTCCTCCTGTCACTGCACGCAGGGATCCACCCCTGTGTGACATCACAGCGAATGCACTGTTGCCAAATATCACATCAGTAGCCCGGATTGCCTTTAATTGGTGTGTGAATAGCTGCTGCGATAACTGAACATCATGTAGATTTATGACTGCTAAGTACAAATCCATTATCAGCTTGAATTAGTTTTGACTGAGAACTCTTTGCTCATTTGGCTGCCACCTGCTTCTCATTGATACTAATGATTCACTACAGTTATTGCAGTGGGAAGGAGATGAAACAATGTTTGATTAGCTAGACTTCCTTTTTTTTTTTAGTTTTACAACATAATTTGACTCTTACCGCTTCTTCATTGGGTGTCCTTATTTGCAGTACTGCAATTAATAAATCATCTGTGAGAAAAATGATAAATAATGTAGTCATAAGAACTTTGTATAAATAATCAGCAGGAAAACACAGTAGGGAGGTTTTGAGATTCTAAAAAAACTACAAATGATAAAAATCTAATAAGTTCTGGGGCTTGACAAAAACATCTGAAAACTGCTCAAATTTTCATCTTTGCTTAATTTAGATAGTGATAATAATAATGTTATCATCCAATCTTCAGCCCAAATAAATGTGTGTTCAAGATGAGGAGATGGATATATTTAAGGATTTTAACTAAAGCAATAGCAGCTTTTATTTTTCCACTGAAAAATTGTGTGTGTGCAACGAGGAATTCAGTCTCTTTGTTTTTTATGTCTCAACAGATCTTGACTGATATGTTGGCACAGTGGCCAGGAAGCTTCCCCCCAAAGAGTTCACCTCTGTTTCAGTCGATGACTGCTGCCTGAACCCTGTACCCCCCATTGAGACAATAAAACGGCTGGATGACTATTGGAGTAGCAGAGAGGCCAATAGTTTATAACTCAGGAGAGGTAGAGCTTTACAGCTTGTGTGAAGACAAAGATTTGGAATGGTACAAGTTTGCATTTCCCCCAGTCTGAGGTCAGGAGTGCAAGGTTACCTTTTTTAGTTGTCTGAGGCAGATGGTGAGAAATACAAAAGCTGCATTGCTACGGCTTCAGATAAAAGGACATTTCTCTGTGCATATATCGACAGCTTTTAGGGGCTCACTCAATAAATGCTTAGTTGTATTAAACAGCAATATGCACTATGATATTCACATGATCCCTTTAATTAACACAACCTGGAGACTTCATTACTTTTGTCAAATTATGAAGTTTATTTCTGATGGGAAATGAGACGAGTATCTACTAAAAGATAAAATTATGCAAATATAATCTGTATTTTGAAATCAATATTTCTTCTGTTTTATTTTCTTTGATTAAAGAAAGATTACATTTTATTTGACGTATTAAATAACATAGCTTCTCAACAGTCACTGAAAGATAATGGATTGTTTGATTAAAAGTAAAGGTCTTTAGAAGGCTATTAGAAAATGTTTTGTTGTAATGAAGCCCTAAAAACAATGCATTTTATTCTTCTTATATATCTGCCATTTATATATAAATCTTCAGTCACATTCAGAAAATTTTAAGATGCATTCTGATGACACTAATTATGTCTTACTAAAAGCACCTTATTAAATTAACAACATTTAAGCAAGTATTAAACATATCTTTGAATAAGCCAATATTTATGGATAAAATTGTTGTTTTTTATTTATTTGATATCTTATTCTAATCTTAAATGTTGTTTTGTTTGTCTCTTTCTGCTCAGAGTTGATTTTAATTGAGTCAATTTTTAAAATGTATTTTTCTCCTTGTAAAAATGCAGATATGCAAAAGAAGTTGGTTTCAGTGCTGAATTCAAGCACTATTCCTATTAAATAAGTTGTTTTTTGACAATTACTCTTTGTATCTTCCTACCCCAAATAAACTATTTTCTTTTACAATTAACATAAAAAGGCATAATCATAAAAATTCAGGTGAACCAGAAGCAGCAAAAAACTCAAACCATTGGGCCGACTTTATGTAAAGAAGGTCTATTATGATATAAGGACTGTTTTGGAGCTTTCATCTTTTCACACTCAGAGATTCCCCTTTTCATCCTAAAGGCATTAAAAGGAGAGAAAGAGCAGGAGACAGAGGAGTTAGGCTGACGTCACAGCCCAGGAGTCACCCGCCGTGCGTTCGGCGTCTACAAGTAAAGACTTATCTTGCAAAGAAGTTTGGACGGACAATGTGGGTGGACAGGGCGTGAAACTACTATCATCATCAGGTCTGAATGAAAAGGAGAAAACATATCTTCCACAAAAAAGAAGGCTCATTCCAATTCAGCTGCGTTGTTAGGACAACGGGAACCATCCCTCAGATGATTAGTTCCACTTCAAAAGAATTTACTTTCCGCTGTGGAAACGTCCCCCTTTTGTGTCCTTACACAGGGTTTTCTCAGCCCAAAAGAAGAATCGTATGTTTAGTCAGCCTGTTTATTATTCCTTCTGTTCGCATAACAATTGTATTAAATAAATAGAGTACTGCTTACAAAGGCCTATTAGCCCATAAACATGTCCAGGGACAAACAAAAAAGACTAAATCATAGCCTCTGCACAGGAATTAAGATACCCTGGCAAAGGCATAAAATACACCAACTCCCACTAACATCCCCATTGACACTGTGGAGCATGGATGCTCTGTTGTTCCATCTCAGTCTGGAGAAACAGCGTCTCTTGCTAAGCCTCTGTTGAGAATGCAGTGAAGAAGAGGGATGGGTGAAACTGGCATGTTCTTTCTAAGCTGTGCGTAACAAACTCTTTGGTCTAAGGTCATAAAGTACCACAGACTACTTCAAAACTGAAAGATTTAAATGGTCTTTCACGTATTTATACATCACTTACCCAAAAATACATCCAGATTTTAGATGAGCAGGCATTCAAGAGTCTGCAAGAAAAAAAAGGCAAGCAATTACAGGTAATAATTAGGCAATGTTGGGCACAAATTACTCTGAGCCTAATGTGATTATTAATGGGTGGCTACAAGAACAGATCAAAGAGTTATACAGCAGCTAGTTTGATCATTAACTCTGACTTCGTCAAGATTTTGAAGACACCACTTGAATACAGAAAAACTCGCTGTTGAGGTTCTGCTGGCTGCTCAGATAAACAGACTTCTTGCCTGAGTCCAAATCCCAAAAGGGGGCGGAGAAAAACATTGACAACACACCTAAATGCAGATGAGTGGAATCAGGATGAAAAGTTTTTTCTTTCTTTCTTTCATTTTTGATGCAGCCAGCGACTGGCAGCTGTGACATTTTGGTTACTTTTATTGGATTTATTCATTTTCTTCTGTGTGTGAAGTGTATTTTTTTGAAGTTTACGAACCCCCGCCTTTCTCCAAAAATCAAGCTGGAGTGAGGTTTCATCTGTCCTTTGGCAGTGTTCACTCTGCGTGTTTTGCAGCAAGTAAATTGGATGCGTAGGGACATTAAATGTTTTGCTTTGTAAAAATAACAGATCTTTAAATCAGACATTTCAAAAACAATGACTTATTAAAGCCCAACAAAGTTCATGTGCCTACTCAGAAACAGCTAAAATTCTCAACATGACCAATGATGAGACACTTTATAGCCCACAGTGATTTAATATGCTCAGCAAAAAGAAACCTCTTGGCACAGGACAACCAAGCGACCTCCCTTTAATGTTTGTCACTGTCAAAGCTTTGATTTCTGATTGATGAGTAAGGCTGGTGCAATCGCAGAGCGACATGGGCTGGTCTTGTTGCACAAATTTAAGCACGTCTTCTGGAAGTCAAGCTTGTTGCTCCTCATACCCCAACAGTTACCCCATCACGCCTCGGAAATTGTATTTCACCCCCCAAAATGAGCATCCTGTGATCCCTAATATAGAAACTGTTACAGCAGATAGAGAGGGGCTGGAAAAGTAATCAACTTTTATTTTTCTCCTTCTGTCATGAGCGCAGCTGAAAGTTCAAAATGCAAACTTAGTCACCAGTTTGCTTGTCACACCGATTTAAAAATAGTCCACAACTCTAACACAGTCTAATGCAACAGTACTGCAATAAAATTTATCTTAAGGGGTGCTCCAGCACAAAGTCTTGGTCCAAATCTTTTAGAGAAGTATTAATTTAATGAAAATGTCGCATTACAATGAATTATACTGAAAGCACAGCTGCAGGGGAGTTTAGTTTAGGAAAAAAGCACAATTAATAATAAATAACAGACTCTGATCTAGCTGTAAGCAAATTTGAACATTTATATAACCATATGTTAATAACTGTTCCTGCAGGCTCCTATAAGTGAATGCATGATGCAAAACTCAGAATAAAACCAAATCCTCTACATTAGATGAATATAGTGTTGCAAATAAATGCATTCGTTACTGCAGTAGCATAGTCTCTGATAAAATTTGCAAAATCTAACATTTAATTTGAGGTCATTTAAGTGCATGAAAAATCCCATGTAAAGAAATAATTGCTCTTAACACTGGAACACCTGCTGTAAATACTGTGTACGATAGCCTTTAGCCCACAGGACAGGACTTAGCCTTCTGCTATATCCTTTCACAAGGTTGGAGCACAAACAGAGGGTGATCTTTGACCATTGCTCCTTTCACAATCTTTCTGCCTTTCTTCAACTTACACTTCATATTTTTTACAGGTTTTTAGTGGAAGGTTGATTCTCAACCTGAGGAGCCATTTTTGCATTGATTTGATTGTATGTTTTGGATCGATATCCTGCTACAGAATGAAGTCATAAACTTGTTTCTGCTCGTCCATGAAGTGTTTATTTGAAATCCCCTGAAATATCTGGCAGTCCGTAATGCCATGCTAATAAAGTTTCCAAATTCCTGAGGGAAACAAGCCCACAGCATCACAGATCCTCCAACATGCAACATTGCGGTGCTCTTCTACATATCCCTCCTGGAGTGTTTATAGCTAAAAAGTGTACAATCTTCATCTCATCTAACCAAAGCACAAGTTTAAAGCCCCAGTAGGTTCAACAGTAGGACAGAAAATGCTTTTTTCTTGTTTTGGTATGCCACCCAAACAACCAGTTGGTATGTGGTATCAAAGATGGCTGTTTAGTTGTTGCTTAATTGCAAAGAAAAATCATGTGTAGAGTATATCTGAGCAGAGTTGAGCCACACTGTGACTTCTAGATACCAGTCTTTGCTTCAGTTACTCAGCAGTATGTTTCCTTCCTTACCACACTGAACATTAGTGGCAAGATAAACATGCCACCGCTGTGACTCTTCTACTTGTCTTAAACTCATAAATTACTCATTAGATTAAAGATATATGGAAAAGATCTTTTCCAAACTGCAAACATCAATGCACATCAAACTTTACACAAATGTCAGGTTCTCTTCTCCTTCCCATTTTGAGGAGTGTTGGAAGAAAGACAAATGCTACAGGAAACAGGAAATTAAAGTTCCTAGACTTTAATTTAATTTGTAAAGTTTATTTCAACTAATGAAAATACCAAACAATAATAATTAAAATTGAGAAAATAATAAGGAAAATTATATTTCAGGTCATGAATGTTGAAACAAAAGTGAAAAGAGCAATTCATCGCATCACTAAATGTCTTCAATTTTAATAAATGAGTACTGGCTGCCTTGAAATAGAGACTTAACTCAACTGCATTTAATTACCTCTTTCATCTACCCAATTAAAAGCAAATTTTTAATCCATGTAGTTTATTTCTTGTTTTGATTGCTCATCATGCGACTGCCTTTTAATCAGGATGAAAACATTAATGTTGCATATTAATTTATTTGATTTGCACCATCCTCTCTCTGCATAGCATACAACGCCTCAGCTGACGACTTAAAGAAGACGTTCCAGCGACGTTATCGGGAAACATTTTCAATCCGCAGTCACTCAGGTGTGTGTGAAAGGGCGCGAGGTGGTTGTTAAAATGGTCCCGAGGATCAATACCATGTTGTTGACAGTGAGAGTCCCCTTCAATGGAAATAACAGCAAGGTGGCATCACAAGGTGTCATGTGTGATGTCGCTGAAATGGATCCGGACGGGGCCATGCCTTTAGATGCCAGAATAAACATTCAGCACTGACAACTCAGATCCCAACACATAAAACGACTCGGCTGTGTGAGGTAATCTGAGCCTTACCCAAATGAGATGGTAATGCCTCCTCTCGGGGAATTCAGCAACACACAGCAGCACCTAAACAGAGGCTCAGACGGGACTAATAATAGAGCCTCCGTGCTGCTTAACTTCTATATTATTCACTTCAAAACTGAGATCAACTATGTGGGTCAGTGGGATTTCTGTGGGAAATAAAACACACAGAAAGACGCAGCCAAAGAGAAAATGTGTTCGTCTGACATCAGATCTGAGGAACGTGGCAGCTAATAAGAAAATTATTTGGGCAGCTCAGAAGTTTAATTAACAGCTGGTTTTAACTGATTGAAAGGGAGTACATGTCCAAGCGCATGCATGGGAGCCTAATTATTTTTCAACTCCTTGATTGTCTAAATAAGCTTTATAAATAAGAAAAAAACACACACACACACAAATGACTTGGAATGTTCAAAGGAAGTTATTTTAGAAATGGAAATGATCAAGGAGATTTTCAAAACTTCTGTGATCTGTGGGCTTGAATACACTGGGACTTGAGTCCTCCACGCTGCTACATATTGCATACAGACACACACATTCACACAAGCCAGTACTTCACCACCAACTCTGGCTTTTTTAAAAGGAAAATTGGACGTTTATTCTTCCATTTTGTTGCAAAACCTGGAGCTAAACTGAAAATAAAAAACAGAAACATTTCTGAGATGATCAGAGAAGCAACATAAGGCAAGAAATGATAAAAAGTAAGCTAAAGGTCAGGAGGTATGAAATTAGATGAAAACTAAGAACAGGCATCAGACGAGATATGAAAGATGAAAGGAATTTATGATGCACAATGTTGTTCTGATCATGACTTTACAGATTCATCTCAACATGTAAGTTAGAATATAATCAAAAAGTTGAATTATTTTGGTAAATAAATTCTAAACACGAATCTGTTATTTAGATTAATTGATTCATAGTGAAATATTTCAGTTATAAAGTTCTGTTTGTTTACATGTTGTGGCCTTAGTTTATTGCACAAAACCAAGAAAAAAAACCACATGTTTAATGCAGAAATGTTTTCCTACTAAATACCTACAGACTGGACAGCTTAGGGCTCGTCGGCATTGTTAGCGCTGGTCTCACTCAGCTAATTTCTCACATGACAGCTTCTCTTTGGGGTTTAGTTCAAACCAGTTTTCTGACCCTCAAACCATCACTGATTTAAAAAACCCAACACTGAACCTCAACAGCCTGCGATGCTCCACTCTTCCTCCAGACTCAGTCCATGTTCCCTGCAAGGTGAGACGCCTCTGCAACTCTGGTTCAGAGATGACTTGACAAGACTAACGCCACCCCAGGATCTGGATACATCTGTGGGTGATTGCTCTTAAAGCACCAGCCACACACTACAGTCAATGTCTTGTGGAAAGTCATAAATGACTGTTGTTTGTGCACCGTTTTCTACCTTCCACCTAACTTTCCACATATGAAGTTTTCCCAGTGATTCTGTAGGTTATGTCTTAATCATTTTTTATAAAACGGTCATATATAATATTAACATTTTCAGAGTAACTCTGATTTATTTATTACTAAAGTGATTGTTAGAATGTATATATTTCTCACTTTTACAATCGAGCTACTAACAGAATTGCGGTAGTAACACGACCACGCATAAATTTGGTCATTTCAAGGCAGCTAATAAGGCGATAATAAAGACTTTAGAACAAGCAATATTGAAAATAAGCATGCCATTCCTGTGTATTAACAATAAATTATATGTAGGCAAAAGTCAGCTGCTCAGATTTGTTCATATATGTGTAAAACCAAGAGACCACAT